CTGTGAGCAAGAAATCATTAAATCAAATATTAGAACTGTTAGATAAAGCTTATAACTTCATATGACTCTTACCGAAAGAAGATCTCGTTTTATTACGTTTTAAGCGCCCCTCGAATAAATTACCGCCCCCCTCTCCCCTCCTTCCTCACTGTCTCAGATACCAAGAAAACCTGTTTCTATTGCCACTTTATCTATAACTCTTTAACCTTCAACTTCAGCGGAATCAGTACAGGTTAATAGTTTCTTAAAAAGCACCTTCCTTCCAATGAGCGCCCCTCCTTTTAGCCGAAATTTGAAATAGGCGCTCGGGCGATTATTCGAGGAAGTGCTTTGTATAAAATTGGCTAATTTGGTTTGACAGAAGGGATTTATTATTGAAAATCAATAGGAACTCGCGATGCAACTGTTCAAAATAAAGTTCTTTGTTACAAATTCAAGACCCTCTGAATTTATGGATTAACACACCCCCCTCACCCACGACTGCTCAACATAGCTGCGCAATTATTAAATTATTAAAACTTTCCTCAGCCCTTGGCTAGTTTCCAACAACAAAGCAGTCCTGACGGACAAATTCTAAGAATCAGCCAGTCTTTTTCGCCGGATTGCTGATTTAAGAAAACAAGGGACTGCAACTAATATTTCGATTAGTACGGGTCTCAATCAGCCACAATTTAAATACAAATGTATTATGAAGGACGATGTAGTTGCCGGCGGTTTGGATTCTCCAATCTATAATCTCAAATCGCTTCCATTAAAATGTGTAGCTAGATAAATGGCAATCAGTTAAAATGTGAAAAATACTTGCACGAATATAAGTGGCCTACAAAACTTTGTCGGATGTTAACGAGTCTAACCTTTAAAACCTGGCCCAATCTTACGATGGATGTCACTGTCAGTTTACATTCGTACTGCATCCGAACTACTAGTAGAATTTAATTGGTGTCATATTTGTGACATTAACATTGTTTTGAGATGAAATCATTTCATAAAGATACTGAAAATTTATCCTTCTTTGTATATGGATGGGAGTGAGTTTATTGATGACGACGTGAATGATGGTCGAATTAGCAATGCTTCACATTTGCATGTTATTTAAAAATAAAAACAGCGTTATCAGCAATGAAAAGTCTCAAAAAAGTAAGGGGGGAAAAATTTTTCTCGTCCACACTGAAGAACAAAGAAACCAACTCTTGGTTGGTATGAAGGCGAGAGCGACCCGGCATCAGTTCAACAAAAGAAATTGTGAAATTTTTATCATTAAAAAACGATGGGACACAAATGTACATGTCATAGACTACCAGATATAAAAGGAAACTCAGACATGGTCTGACGCTACTCTGGTTTACAGATTTAATGAATGTAACCGAAGAAGTTACAATTCATAGACCCAACGTTTCGACACTCCTGTCTAGTGCCTTCATCAGGGGTGATCTAAACGCTGCAACAAGAGGTCCTTTTATATGATCACTAATTAGCAGTCTTTTTTTCTGACGAGGTGTAAAAAGGCGTCAGGAAGCAAACTGCCATCGTCACGATTTAAAGGAGCGTGGGCTGAGTTAATGTACCAAGCCTCCAAACAAAGGCGCTGGTGGTAACGCCGATTAGTGGTGATAATTTTAGAATTATCCCACCCAATTGTATAGTTAGTTAGGCATGTGTGCTCCGATAGAGCTGAATATTCTGTTTTGTAAAAGAAAACCGCTTTTTTATGCTTTTATTCGAAACGTTGGTTCTATGAATTGTAACTTCTTCGGCTACATTCATTAAATCTGTAAACCAGAGTAGCATTAAACCATGTCTGATTGTCCCCCTGGTTGCCGTGTGAACTTTAATATATTTTAAAAGGAAACTCTTTTAATTCTCAAACTGCCTTTATTTCATCGAAAAAACCTTGCCAAAAACAAGATAGTTTCAGTAATTAACGCCCAGTGAATGCTCTCACAAAACGTGAAACGTCTACGTGTCAGCAGCACATTACATTGGTAAAAACCAACGAGTTAAAAATAGATGATTCCAGAGTTCTGAGGCTAATGGTTGTAAAACTAAAACCAAGCTCGAATGTATAATTTCAGTTTTCTTAGCGCGAAAAGGTGTCTTGGAAACGGGAAATAACATAAAATTATGTTTAAAAAAAGCTGTCCCCTTGTGAACATGGTGAGAGAAATGTGACGAGGAGAGTGTTTTCGCGACTCTTAAAAAAATCCTGTGGTAGGGTGGAGGTTATTTGAACTATACGTGCTTGCCTTAGAACATTGCAGTGATGAAAACCAACGAGTTAAAAGCAGATGAATTCAGAGTTGTTAAAAAACTAAAACCAAACTTGAATGTTTAATTTCAGTTTCCTTAGCGCGAAAAGTGTCTTAGAAACGGAAATGACATGAGACGATGTTAAAAAAAAAGCTGTCCCGTTGTGAACATGATGAGAGAAATATGACAAGGAGAATGTTTTCGCGACTTTAAAAAAAATATTGTGGTAGGGCGGAGGTAATTTGAACTATACGTGCTTGCCTGGAACTTAGTGTTTAGATCATCATAAATACCACATCATGCTATGGACACCTAAACAGCTCATATAAGTTAAATGTTCGTTATTTTTCTGGAAGGTTTATAGTCAGCTAAGAAATTGCAGCAATGTCTATCTTCGCCTTATGCCTGTGGTGAAATAGCAAGTAGAAGAGTCTCCAAAGCAACTTGGCAATCAGATTCGTTCCACAGAAATAAGAATCGTGCACCAAGGCTCCTTGATAATACGCAACGAAACACTCGGCATACTTAGCAATCTCGCTATAGAAAGTCGCAATAGGGTTAATGTCAGTGGTCAAACGGCAGAAAACTAATCAGTGATTAGGGCCAGATATATTGTAATCGAAAATTTATTATAAATTATTATACTCTTGAACGTGACCACTGAAAACGTAACATCATGCCCAAAACTATGCTCCTGTCCTTTAAACTCTCCTACTCCCTCGTCCCTCTCCCTGCCACCGAGGGATAAAATTAAATTACAAAATGTAAAAGGTGGCTTACTGCAACTTCACACAAAAGAGATCATGTTATTGGACCAAATTCCTTGCCTACACTTATTTATCTCTTATTGAGTGCGTGAGGTAGTAGCCAGGCCTTCAATAACGTAACCTAGCTACAGAGAAGTGGTAGAAACGGTATTTGAGACGTTTATACTGAAAACGACCCTGAAAAAGTTATTGTAAAAGTAATAGAAACGCAGTTTCACGTGTTTACGCTCAAGAATTTTCGTAATTATGCTCCATCCTCTCTGACTAAAGCAGTATACCCATGATTATGACGGCATAGTTTATCTGAGCCTATCTGTGACAAATGAATAAAGGGGGTAAGTTTCTAGAGAAACTGTGGTGCTGCGTCGGTGGGAGAGTATAGCAGGTAATTTAGTGTTAACAACTGAGTTGAAAACATAAATTTACCACCGTAAAGGGTAAAAAAGCTGACGTTTCGAGCGTTAGCCCTTCCCAATCGCTCTGACGCTGTACTGTAAATCACCTCAGTTGAGTGTCTCTCACCGTTAAGTGTGCTAAAGTAATTTGTTGCCCCGCTTTGGGTTATTTTCTTTATGATTATAAGGCCGATCTTAATTTGACCCCCTCTCTAAGACATTTTTTATCTAACTGTGGCACAAAAGATGTTCACATTAACCATGAAGCGCACCTTTTCGTGTGGTCAATTGAAGTTATTCCAGTTAAGAAGTCTTTTCCACTAGTTAATACAAAACGATCGAGTTCTGAAGTTGTCGGATACACCGTTCTGAGGAGCTTGAACCATTTTTAAGGCTGACATCGTTCTAGACAGATTTTAAATGAAAATTTTCAACAACATTGCGCAACGGTCTCAGATTCCAAGATGGCGGACACATAACAAACGGACGGTGTGATTATCATATCTAGTAAAGTCATATCCAGTGAATGGCAACAATCAGTGATCGATTCCGGCAGTTCTACGTTCAATAAAACTTGAATCTACAAACTGCTTAATTCCGTAAAAGTTGTCTTTTTGATATGCTTTATACACGACAAAAGAGAAATACGATACCTTGTTTATCGATTTCTCTCGCCTTGATGAAACCTGGAATAAGTGTCAACTTTTTTTCGCAGAAAATGGAGCGTTATTTTTCAGTCGAATCTAGCCATCGGGATTCAGCAATCCAGAACAACGATCAGACTCTAACCTTTTTCCCACACTTCCTACTGCGAGCGTATATAGTGCACACTTTCTCTCCAGAGGGCATGCAGAAAAGAGACATCTCACGATCATAAATTTCTTAACATCCAGGCCTGCGGCATGAGCTTAACTTTTTAGATTTTAAATTTACGTGAAGATCAACCTCCTGAAAGTTGTTTTTCCTTTGCAGCCGCCAACCTTTGTTCTCATTGTCTATCCGATACCAATCCGCAGGAAAGTCTTATATAAATACAAATCTACTTGTGAAAACACCGTTTCACAGATGTGGTTTGGAAGTTGCTCACTCCGAGTAATGCGCTCCTGTCTGTTCCATTAAAGTAACTGATGGGAGAGGCATACTGGGTTGGGATACTATTTGGGGATTGTGTAGTAATCACAAAACTCAGTTCGCGGCAAGCGCTTGAAACAGAGAGATCTGAAAGACCTTTGAACCGTTTGACGGTTAATTTTAGGGTTCGTCACACCCATTTAAGAAGCCGGCGCGATTTAACCCTGCCCGACCCAGGTAGATTATTTTAAGTCACTCGACGCGAATCTTCGACTCGAGAGCCACGGCAGACAAGTGAACTTGTGAATCCTGTACTGAATCTGTGTTCAATCAAAGAAAGTTTGTGGTATTTTGTCGCATTTGCAAACGGGGGCCCTCTGGTTGGAAATTGGAAAATTTGAACATTTCTGCCGAAAACAATTTTTGAAGAATAAATCTCCCGTTATCTTTCTACATTTGAAATACGTGGTTTGTTTTTACATAAATCCTCTTATGGAATCAAAAATAGCAGTTGTTTGTT